ATAACATCACTGTAGAAATGGAGAACCAATCACATGGCAAAAGAGATGTTGCAGTATCTTTAAAGAATTTAAAATAAATAGTTTAATTATTATTTTTCTTCTAAAAATATAACTCATGCTTCTGGATGGTAGAAACTTCCACAGATGTGGAAGAAAAGACTTCAAGAGAATTTGGCTGATTAGGGAACCTCTGTTACCCAAATATATGAAGATTAAGGAATGACAAATTTCCAGCCCCAGTAGATGCAGCTTACTCTGAAGGGAGATAACAACCTCCACATTGATACCTCAGCAGTTCATCTCCCAGGCAAAATGTATCTTTTCTCTAGAAGAGAGTACAGGCTTCAGAAGCATCCAAGTACAGGATGTATGAGACTGATTCACCTCACCCAGATGCATCAAGTCCAGCATGTCCAGCACTAGGTGTTTCTGAGATGACACAAGAACAGGACGTGCAAATCTTCAGTCCTTGCAGCAGTCGGTGCAGCTCTTAGTGCTTTCAGCTAGGGTTCTGCTTGTACCTGTCTTGTTCTATTCAGACTGATGTTAACGTGGTTGCTTATGTCACCCATGATAACATCTTATTTATTTCTCAGCTCCTCCACCTGCTTCTCACTCTCAGTGCTTTCCGTACCGTAAGCATTTTGTGAAGAACTGTTCTTATTTCAGTTTTTAAGTTCTGTGAGTTTAGAAAGCAGAAGCTCCTGATCTATCATTTCTATCATTTCTTTCCCATTTCTTCCTTTTGATAATAATTTGTGATTTATCTTATCTCATTTAATTGGAACCACAGTTAACACCACCGATATTTTCAATGTTGCAGTAACATGTTTAATCTCTGCCTTTCGGCATTTCTTTGTTTCATCTTCTCTGTATTTTTCTGACCTCTTGTTTAGCCTCATTCTTCCATGTTCTCTGGTTTTCTGAGCGAACTGGCTGAGCTGTAGTTGGGAACCGCAGCAGAGCAGGGGCAGCAAGAGGCCTCTCTCTCAATCTTCATCAGTACCTCTGTACACCCTATAGTTGGAAGCTACAGGAATATGTATTTTTTTGGGGGGAGTGGGGGAGGAAGAGAAGAGGAGGAGGGGGAGGAAATACTTATGCCAAAGTTTGCTCAAAAACATTGTATCTGTTCCTTAAAGAAAAGATATTTTAATAATCAGAAAGTAATGAAATCTGGGACCACTGCATTATTTAAGTTAGAGTGACAAAGGATGCTGTCTGTTTTCCTTATTTCTGTTGTAGCATGTTTTTATGAGAGTTGGTTATGAGTTGGTTTTAATACCCCTAGTCCCAGTGTACATCTTGAGGACACCTATTTCCTTACCTTGTACAACAGTCTCTCTTTTCAGAATTTACATGCTGGGCTGTGGCCCACGATCTGTCAGCTGCAGGGCAGTCACTGTGATTGATAGAGTTGTGGTGGGTTCAGCTCAGCTTGGAAGTGTCACCGTTCCTAGCTTGGAATTGTCACCGTTCCTTCTGGGTTTTGTCGGCTGTGCCCAAGGGGAGTCTCCAGGGGCTTCCGTGGAGTTTGGGGAGTGAAGTGGTGGCTGCCCCTGTGCCCTTACGTTACTATAACTCTACTGAACCCTAGTACTGGGATAACCGGGAGGAAAACTTCCATGAAATTTGTGGTAAGAAGGATGTGAGAATAGACAAGCAGAACTGAAATTAAGTTCACCAGAGAGGAACTACTGCACAGGATGGTTCCGCATCCGCACCGGCACGTTTAACCATCCCTCGAGCTGCGCTTCATGCGCTGATTATCCGACGGGGTTGTGCTCTGAAGTGTTTTCCTTGGAGAATTCCCTGCTGGGCTCCCCAGCACCGCGCAGGGAGCGCGAGGCCGCGCGCAGCCACCGCGCTGGGGGCTCCCGCCGCGCCGCAGGGCCCTCGTTTCACATCCTACATAATGGAAGGGGGCGTTTCGTGTATTGTTCATACACATTGTGCCTCTTTTCAGGGGATTGCCGTTAGAAACGCTGCAGCAGCAAGTTGAGATGCCACCACTGATGGCAACGGCGTGTCAGGATTTTTTAATATTGCTGCAGAGCCCTGTGCTGGAGGTGCATGCACACAAAAGGGTGGTTACCAGCACCCTTCAGCGAGGGGAAACAGGGAACCAAATCCGTAAGTGGAGCTTTATATAGCAGGTTGCAAAGAATGATATTCTTGCCCCCTCTACAAGTTTAGTGTAGATCCCGTGAGGCACTTTGCAAGGCACTGTGCAAGTGTGTGTGCTGAGAACAGCCTCGCTGCCTCCTTATATCACCCCTCCCAAAGGGAACCCCGGCCCCAAAGCCAAGGCCTTACCAAGCAAACTTACAAGATGCAGCAGTCTGCACCCCCTCCTTTCCTTAGAAAGTAATATTCTCTCCATGGCTTCCTTCAGTAATGATTTTTGGTTTTCTTATTGTAATCTACTTTTATTACTTTGATTTATACTTCAGGTTTCATCCAGCTGTGGCAGATTCTGTTGTATGATTGGGGTTTATTTGCACATGAGCTGTTAGATGCTATGCAGCACTTAAGCACCACAAAAAATCCCCTTCTTTGACCTTTAAAAATCAAAGTGCGCTCATAACATTTGACAGGTGTCCAAAATTAAACACAAAAAGTTTTCCAGATAATATAATCTGATCAGATGAAATAGCTTCTTCTTTTTTTTTTTTTTTTTTTTTTTTTTTTTCCATGAATCAGGCTATGTGATTTTGGTAACAGTGCAAGAATATCCTCATTTCAGTTGTAGGCAAAACCTTTTGGGAATCTACTAGATATAAAAAAAAGAAAAAGAAAGATAGATATGGAATAAGTTACTGATATCATCTTTGCAATGGTTTTTGTCAGGAAAACTCTTAAACTTGAGTTTGATTTTCCTGCTGTAAATTGGGGCTCATTCATTGTCATTTTCGTAGTGTACAATGGTAAATGAGGTTAAAAATGTGGCCTTTATGATTTTCTCCCTAAATTCCTTTCTATTTTTTTTATTCTGGATATCTATGTCAGAATGCTCCACTAAACTGTATTTTGATTAAAAGTCCTTTTTTTCTTTTACAGAACACAATATTTGATTCTGTAGGAGAGGACCTTTCCAACTGTATGATGTCATTTTGATTTTTTTATTGACTTGAAAACCACAGCTTATTGTTAAGAAAAACATGAACTGTCTGGGAATTCAAAAAAAAGTGAATTTTTAGATTTTTCAAGGAAACAACTCCTGTTTTCTGAAACACACACATGCTTGAAATGTGCACGCAGGCACAAGTTTTTCCTCAGTTCTGTCAGATTTTAGTGCGTATTTCTCAATATTCTCTTAGCACTTGCAGTGTGCTCGGTGTTGCCCTGTTAATGTCGAGATGCAGAACATGTCACGACAGTATTGCGGTTTGCCAAGGCGCTGAGCACAACGACGACTACTTGCACACATTGAATAATGATCCACATATCCACTGTGGCTCGCTGCTCCTTACTGTAACTGTCCTCATATGCTGGGGGGTGTTTAGGTGTCAAAGGAAAACTGCTGTACCAAGAATGTGGTAGGATTACAGAGAAATTAAGGAATGACAGTGAATGAGCAGTGCCTGCAAGATTCACCAAGCGACTCCTTACTAGTTTTAGGGATTTGTACTGCTGTTCCTCAGTCATAAAATGTGAGTGCTTCTCACGTACAGTGAATACCAGTAGAGTTCCTGGTGGGTTTCCTGTAAATTCTGTGGCTCTCTTGGTTCCTTGTCAGCAGTGGAATTTGTATTTTTGTTAGTGGAATAAAAAGGGATTTTGTTTTTGGTAATGATTAGATTCATCTAGGGTGGAGTGCTCAAAGTTCCTGACCAGGATGCTCAGGTTCCTCAATTAAGGAAAATATCTCCTTAAATGCCTTTACTATGAAATCAAAAGTATTTTTTATTCAGATTCATCTTTTTTTTTTTGATAAACATGATATTAGGAATGTGTTGTGCCTTATAGATTAATAGTATCAATGATGACTGAGGTTTTTATATTTCTAAGCTTAAAGCAAGCTTCTCTCTGAAGAACTTGA